GTCGTCGTCGTCGGCGTCGTCGTCGTCGGCGTCGTCGTCGTCGTTGTCGTCGTCCGTCGTCGCGTCGTCGTCGTCGTCGTCGTCGTCGTCGTCGTGGTCGCTGTCGTCGTCGAAGTCGTTGGAGACGTCGTCGGTGTCGTCGTCGTCGGTGTCGGCGGCGCCGTCGTCGTCGTTGTCGCTGTCGTCGTCGGCGTCGGTGTCGTGGCCAAGTGCCATCTGGTACCTACCGTCACGGTCTTGTCTTAAGAGGTCTTGCGACCAAGTTGCGGGTGGGAGGGTGGGATGTTTGCACGAGCAGTGGAGAGGACAGCTTCAAGAAGGTCAAAGTGAATTGCACCACTTATATTTCACCGCATAAATTGCGCATACATAGATTGCACCACATCGGTTGCACCACATAGTCTGTACAACATGCATATCCAAACATATGCTGCGCCGCATTAGCCGCGCACCACATCGGTTGCACCACGCATTGAATTGAAAGGAGAGCACAGGTTGCTCCACATAGGCTGCACACCGCATGTTGCTAGAAGCACAATGTTTGGGGTCCGCGCTGGCTAACAGTTTTGAACATGCAAAAAGACGGATTCTCCTCACCCTCCTCATTCTCCTTGTCTCCCTCCTGCTCCTGCTCGTACATCCTCCGCCTCCTCCTCCTCGAGGACCGGCCTGGTGTTTTCATGCACCGCAAGCTCTCGGAGCGGGCTTTCGGGTCGATTGCCAGCGTGCACCTCAGCTTCATCGACGGGGACCACAGCCTGGAGGGCATCACTGGCGACCTGCTGGGCATGGCACCCCGGACGCGGTGCGTGCTTGCGGGGCACGACTACGCGATGTCCCGGCGCCGAGCGGGCACAAAGGAGGCGGAGGAAAAGGAGGAAAGGGAGAGAGGATGTTGAGGAGGGATGTGGCTGAGCTCGCGGGGCACGACTACGCGATGTCCCGGCGCCGAGTGGGCACAAAGGAGGCGGAGGAAAAGGAGGAAAGGGAGAGAGGATGCTGAGGAGGAGGAGAGGGATGAGGAGGAGCAGGAGGAGGAGGAGGAGGAGGAGGAGGAGGGGGAGGAGGGGGAGGAGGAGGAGGAGGAGGAAAAGGAGGAGGAGGGAGAGAGGATGCTGAGGAGGGAGGTGGCTGAGCATGAGGAGGCAGCAGGGCAGCGGAGGCTGCACGAACACCTGTGGGCTACGCCGAGGCCCGACCCCGCGCGAGGGGGCTCCCCAGGAAGGCTGGGGGTGCCCCCAGAGGAGGAGGAGGCGGAGGAGGAGGAGGAGGGGGAGGAGGGGGAGGGGGAGGGGGAGGGGGAGGGGGAGGGGGAGGAGGAGGAGGGGGAGGAGGAGGAGGAGGAGAGCCCCCGAGGAGGCCCACGAGGCTCCTGAGCTGGATGCTCGCCCACGGCTCCGCTGCCAGACTGCAGAATTGGCAGGCACCCCACCCAGGCATTCGACGCAGGCTTGGGGGTGTGTGGACATCGTGGCCAGGGCCGCGGTGTCTCCCCGATCTCGTGGAGCCCGACTCTACCTCCCTCCGCGCGTGCCCTGGGCCCCCCCCCCTGTCGTCCGCGCACCTGCCCGGGGCCATGCCCAGGCATGCGACGCGTCGCGAGCTTTTCGGAGCGTGGTTCCCCGACGATTCGGGGGCCACGCGCGAATCCTGCCCCTACCCCCCACGATTTCTGAGGGGGAGGGTGGGGCTCACCTCGTTCGGGAGCTCCCGAGCAGAGTGAACCCCACCCTCCCCCTCAGAAATCGTGGGGGGCAGGGGGCAGGGTTCGCGCGTGGCCCCCTGCCCCTGAGGTGCGGACCCCTCCCGGGGGACTGGCTCGTCACCCCATGCCGTTCCCTGACGGCCCCGCCCCCCCCCCCCCGTCACTGCGTCGCGACGCGCGGAGGTCCGGGCAGGGCAGGGAGGCTCCCCCGAGCCCGGGAGGCTCCCCCGAGCCCAGCGCGCGCCGACCGCTCCAGCACCCGACTAGACGTCAGAGTGACCTTTCGCCGGAGGGACCTTTGGTGCGGGCCCCACGGGGCCCCCCGATGGCCGAACGCGATGCGACAGGAGCGTCTTGCGCGCCTGTGTTTGGTCACCCCGCGGCCCCCAAAGAGCCGCGCACCAAAGGTCACTCCTACCCGGGGTCACTCCTGCGCGTAGCCGAAGCACGGGCGCAGAGGAGCGCACGACTGTCCAGAGGGCGGTGCGCTGAGGTTGCCGCTCGCCCCGCAAAAGTAGTCACGCGCTGGCGGGTTTCGAAGTCTCTGGGGCAGCTCACAGGGAGGGCCTCGAAGAGCCACTGGCCCAGCTGTCCAAGGGGCTCCACGGGTCCTCACGCTCCTCATCCTTTTCCCCCACTTCCCTGCTGCTGTTCATCCTCACCCTCCTCCTCCTCTTCCTTCCTGGCCTGCTCGTCGTCGTCCTCCTCCTCCTCATCGTCATCATCATCATCATCATCATCATCATCATCATCATCATCATCATCATCATCATCATCATCATCATCATCATCATCATCCCTCGCATTCTCCTCCTGCCCCCCCCTACTCTCCAGCCGATGATCACCCTCATCCTCCCCCCTCCCTGTCTCCCCTCTCCCTCTCTCCCTCCCCCTCCTGCCTCTTCTCTCTGCCTCTTCCCTTCTCTCTCTCGTGCCGCTTTTCCCCCCGACGCCTTCCATCCCTTTGATTCTGATAATTTACGTCTTTTTAATCCAGTTAATGATGTTTCTTTTTTTTGTGAAAATATATAATTCATTTGTCCCTCCACCTTCTTGAACGTGGTGGCCCCGCGAAGTCTGGGAAGCTCCGACGTCCTCTGGGGCCCTCCGGGCCCGAGGAGGCCGCTCTTCTCCCAGAGGGGGGGGGGCGCTCCGCGGCCGGGCCTGCGGAGCCGTCCCCTCTGCGGGGGGGGGCGGCGCGACGGCGCGAAGACTTCGCGGCCTCGATGCGCCCGTTTTGACACGCAAGACGGCCCGTGCTTCACCACCCACCAAACCACCCCAACCCAACCCGAAGGCTCAGATTGACCCTCGATTTCCAGTGGGGGGGGGGTCCGGGAACATCGAAAAAACACGTATGGAGCCCATACCCCCCCCAACCCGAAATTCGGGTCTTCGGGTTGGGTTGGGGTGGTCTGGTAGGTAGTCAGTGCTCAAGACGTCCTTGTCAATACGTTGCGTGTTGGCTCCACGTATGTGGACCACGTTTTGGAGCGCGTAGCGCGTCGGACCTGCGTTTTCGGCCCGCGCGTGGAGCTCCGTGGCAACACGATGCCCTTTTGCGTGTGGCCCCTCGGGGCAGCCGAGCGCGAAGGTGACCGCCCTGCGCGCGCGGCGCGGAAGCACGAAGATCGGGCCGGGCGAAAGGGGGGGATTGGGAAAGGGGGGGTTACGAAATTTGCTGCATGCAGCTGGTTTCGGCCTCACCGAGGGGCCCATTCCTCGATACATTGTCGCCTCCGGCGCCGGGAGGCGCCGGGAAAATCAGCTACGTGAGCTGATTCTCAAACCCCCCCTTTGCTATCCCCCCCTTTCGCCCGACCCGAGAAGACGAGCTGCGCGGGTCGCGTCGAGATCGCGGGCAGGCGGCGCACGCCGATGCCGGGCACGTCGGCCCTCCCGGAGGTGCAGGGCTCTCCAGAGAGCATCGGGGCGCGGCGCGGGCTCTTGGGGCCGCTCTCGGCCTCCCGAGGGGGTCCTCGCTGGGCCTCGGGGCCGTCAAAAGGTGCCTCGGGGCGAGAAAAAAACGGCCCCAGGGTTATGATGTTCCAAATTATGTTAGCCCTGACTATCAGAAAGAATCTCGAGCGCCAAAAAGGGTACCGAAACTCAAGGGTTTTCACGTGTCGGGCCCTGGGAGACACTCGCCCGACACTGTTTTGACACTCAGGGTTATGATGTTCCAAATTATGTTAGCCCTGACTGCCAGAAAGAATTTCGAGCGCCAAGCAAAGGACCGAAACTCAAGCGTTTTCACGTGTCGGGCCCTGGGAGACACTCGCCCGACACTGTTTTGACACTCGTTTGACACCTTTCCGGGTGCTCGGAATTATTTCTGGGATGTGGTCCTTAAGTATGATGGGAACAACATGACCCCAGGGAAGTGGTCCAGACTTCTGGGGACGCATCGAAAAAGTTTGAGCGGACGGATGTCTGTGCTCGTGGCAGCGCCCCGCGCGCAGGTTCCCTGGCATCCCGATCGCGCTGTCCCGCTTCCTCGGGAGCCGCGTTGCGCCAAGGTTCCACGGCCAGACCCTCTATCTGGACAGCGACTTCGTATGGTGGGTGCGAAGCGATTGCTCGTCGTCCTGAGCCAGCGCGAAGAACATGGAAAGAGTGGCGCGCGCGTAATGCGCGCACGCGCCTCGCTTGATCCTTCCCATGTCTCGCACGAGCAGCTGTGGTGTAGAAAGAAGTGGTGTAGGCAGTCATCGCTGTGTACAGGGACACTGCGGTTTACACAGGCAGCGTGGGGTAAACACGCAGTGATGCGCACAGGCATTGGTGTGTACAGGCAATGTCGTGCAAAGAGGCCCTGTGGAGTACACAGGCGTTGTGGTGTACACCAGCACTGGTGTACACAGGCACTGGGGTGTACGCGGGCATTGAAGTTCTCACCAGCTCACTGGTGCTCGCAAGCACTGTGTTCACAGGGGCAGTGGTGTACGGTACATGTACGCAGTGCACGCTGACATGTTAGTGTACACAGGCATTGTGGTCTACCAGGAGGTCCCTCCGCGGGCATACTGTGGCGCGTACAGGCGCTACGTCGGCTGCTCGTGGCCCTCAGCCATCCCCCACACACTGTGCCTAGCTATCCCTCGCAGGTCCCTGCCTACATGCTAGTTCTAGCTGTCCTTAGCTACTACTAGAAGGGCGCAAAACGTGATGTTACCAAGGGGGGGCGGAAGCGGGGTGGGGAGGCGGGGCCAGTAATGGCCCTTATCGTGGATCGTTGAAAAACGATATCTGACTACGCTCATCGCCACTAGCCCCAGCCCTTTGCCTTTGCGCTCCGCTGGTTCCGCTTGCTGCCACGTGGCATTCTGCTTGGGAGGGCTGGCGATCCCGTTGACCGCCACTAGCCTCGACTAGGCCACGATTAGCCCCGACCAGCCCTGCCCTGGCGGCGCGGCCGATTACATTGGCTACCGTTAGTTCTGACCAGTTTTGTCCTGACGCGCCGCCGATCAGATTGGCCGCGACTCGCCCCGCCCAACTCGCCCATTGTCTTGGCACGCCGCCGTCACCGAGACTAGCCCCGACGTGACGTGCCCTTTGCCCCGGCGGCGCCGCCGATTCTGCCCGTCGCTCCTAGCTGCTACTAGCCCCGACTAGTCCTTTGCCTGGACGCGCCGCCGACTCCGCTAGCCGCCGGCACCCGCAACTAACCCTGAAGAGGCCCCGTGCCCTGGCACGCTGCCCATTCCGTTGGCCGCGATTGGCCCCGACTGGCCACGGGCCCGCGCCGACCGCGCGGCGCCATGGCGGTCCCGTCGTCCGGGCCGCCGGCGCCTCCTGGCTGCGAGCTGCGTTCTGTGCCGAACAAGGGCTTGGGCCTGTTCGCGCTGGGCAGCCACGGCGCAGGCGTCCAAGTCTTCACGGACGAGCCGGTGTTTGGCATCCAGCACACTGGGAACCGCCGAGTGGTCGCTGCATGTGCGAACTGCTGCGCTTTTATAGGCTCCCTGCAGGCGCAGCTGGAGACTTTGTTCGGTGAGGCCAGGTTTGCGCCTCTCATGGGCTCAATCGGCGGCCTGGTGCAGCACTGGGACGCCACGTTGCAGCAAGCTGGGGCCGCCGCTGGCTGGTCCTGCGGGCCTGGCGCGCGCTGCCTCCAGGGCTGCGGCGAGCTCTACTGCTCCGAGGCGTGTCGAGACGCTCACTTCCGGCACTCGCACAATTTGCTGTGCACTGGGCCCGTCAAGAGCCAGGAGCACCCGCTAGTGCGGTTTAAGGTCCACGCGATTGAGCACGCAGACACCCTTCTGCTCGCAGCGCACGTGCTGGCGCACCTGATCAACCGCGCCAAGGCGGCAGGTGGCGGCGCAGAACGGACGAAGGCACTCATGGCCGAGCTGCTCGGCTTCTGCCACGCACCCTTTGTCCAGGCCTGCCGAGCGCCGCCAGGAGGTGTCAAGGATCACGATTTCATGCTGCACACACGCGGCCTCGTCACAGAGGCCGCTGCGCTGCTGCAGCAGGCGCTGGCGGAGCATGCCCCAGAGGAGGCCAACGTGTTGTTCGAGTCGGGCCCTTGGTTCTTTTCCGAGGTGCTGGGCATGTTCGAATATAACAACATCGACGTCGAGGTGCCGTCGCCAGTGGGCCAGCTCTTCGTGGCGCGCGGCAGCCAGCTGGCAGCGGCAGGTCCAGGAAACCCCCAGGCCGTTGCAGAGCTCGAGGTCCTGGACCGCCTGCTGCGGGAGAAAGAGTGGGTCATGAAGTGCGTGTGGGGCGAGGAGACTACTGGCATCTTCGGGGACGACGTAGAGGACACCGCTGCCGGATGCGCCCCGAACATCGCGATGGGGATAGACGTCGCCAACATGGACGAGGAGGCGGCAGACGCGGCGGTGGCAGGCGCTGCCATGGCCCAGGCGCGTGCGGAGGTGAACGGGCTGACGCTGGAGCAGCTGCTGTCGGCGCCCTGGCCCGCCCTCCACGGCACGGCCCTGTTCGCGTCCGTCGCGCGTCTCAACCACTCGTGTGTGCCTAACCTCAAGATTGTCTTTCCGAGGAATTCGGCCAGCCTCTCCGCCGTCTCTCTGACGCCCATCAATCCCGGCGACGAGCTGTGCATCTCTTACATCATGGAGGACGCAGACGTCAAGATCCGCCGGCGCCGCCTGCTGGAGTACGGCTTCACGTGCGACTGCCCGCGGTGTCTGCAGGAGGACAGCCTGGCCTCGCGGCGCAACCAGAAGCGCCTGAAATGACCGGTGTTGTTGCGACGTTGTCGCCTGTCCTGTGGGGCACCAGTTCGGAGGGCACCAACTATACACCAACACCGATCCTGGCCAGGATCGGTGTTGGTGTATAGTTGGTGCCTTCCTATGTGGGGCACCGGTCATTGTAAGACCTGGTCTGCCACGGCGTCCAGGCCATCGCTGCTGGCAGAAAGAGAGCCCCTGCCACGCGATCAGACCGCTGTCCTCGTCTCCCCATCCGCCCGCTGTTCGCTCCCGAGGTCCCCCTTGGTTGGCATTTCGTTGGACTGTACGCGCCTTCTTCATCCTGCACTCTCCAGCTGCGAGTCTCCCTCCCCCTGCTTGTCCTCCTTTTCCTCTTGCCCTCCTTCACGATCATCATCCTCCTTTGTGTTCCACCTGCGTCCAGACCCTGAGCTCCTCATCCAACGGTTCGCCATCCAGTGCCCTCACGCTGCCCAGCCAGGCCTCCGCTTTCTTTGCTCCCTCGTCATGTGCCTTGTCATCGTTGTGGTTCTCAGTCGAGGGGCTTCCGCCAGTTCTCCGCGTGGCGCGGTGTGGACATTACGGAAGTTAAGAAACACGTGCTGCGCCAGACATAACATTGTGGAGGACGATCCGTGGAGAGCAAAGCAAGCAGGTTGGCAAACAAAATCCAGATGTCCAAAACATGTGTTGAACATGTGTTTAAGCATGTAAAAAACATGCTTGAAACATGTTCAGGACATTTGTTCCGACATCTTAAACGCATCTTACATTCGGTGATAGGACTGGTAGGGTGTCCAGTGTCGTGGCATGCACAAGCAGTATATATACATACATATATATATATATTGTCATATAAATACATGTTTTTTGGAATCAAAATGTTTTAAACAAAAAAAACTGACCGTGCCCAGCCAGCGCTCCCTCCCGGCGCGGGCAGCGTGCTCTCGGCCCTCGGCTTCCCCTCGGCCGCGCGCCCCCGCCGCCCAAATGTGCACCTGCGCCCTGGGCGGGGCGTCCGCCGCGGCCGCGCGGAGGAGCGCCGCCGCGGCGTGGCTGGGCGACGAGCCAGGCTGGGGCTGCCGAGCCCAGGCTTCCAAAGTGCGGCATCGCTCGGACCTGTGCGTGTCTTCTCGGCGAGAACCATCGAGGACCATCCTGGGCCATCGAGCAAAAAACAGCACGCACGACGCCGAAACATGCACGGGAAATGGACGTCCGAGCGACGGCAAGAGAAGAGCCGGCACAGGCATGAACTTCGGAGGCCCGCGGTGCTGGTGTCGGAAACAGTTAAGCAGCACTCACGCGTGACATATGGTTCGAACTCCCCCCCCTCCCCCCTGATGCAGCGTTGGTGTCGGATCTTCTGAGTTTGAGTGTCCAAGCGGTATTGCGTGAACGAGCCAATTTTGAATTGTGGGGGAGGGGGGAGAGTCGTTTCTCTGTGCCCATCAAGCGCACGGTTGGGGTCGTTGTCGAAAGAACGTGCCCAGGAGCCCTCAGAATCTGGAGGATTCTTTGTAACATGAGGGTGGTGGTGGTATCCGTGGCCAATCCACGATTGGAGTTCCATTGGTTTCTAAACATTGTATTCCTTGTCTAATGTTTCCTGATCCGATGCCTTCACTGGAAAAAACAGACATCGGATCTCTGGGGATGTGTCCCTGTCCCGCTCGGGTGCGTCCAGGTATCGTGGCCAGGGCTGGAGTCTCCCGTATTTCATGGCCCCCCTTCTCTCTTCCCAGACACGCGCTCGTCCGCGCACATCGGGCCATGGTGCGCGTCCTCCCCGCTTCCTGGCCCACCTCTTCGGCGCACCCGATCCAAGGGCCACGGGAGGAAAAGACGCCGATCCCGCCACCCCACGCTCGCCCACCGCTGCCGGATTCGCTTCGGGGCCCTGGCCAGAAGGCGCACCCCGGGAGAGGTCTTGGGGAGCAGCGGGACCGCTACATGTTGCGAGCGGCTCCTGAGGGAAGCGGGTCTCCTGGGTTGTTTCGGCGTGCTCGGCTTCCTGGGGCCCCCCACGGGCCCCAGGATCGTCAGACATCAACCTGGGACGAAAAGTTGGTCCTGGGGAAGGCCCTGGGAGCTCGAGCTTGTTTCGCTGAGGACCCGTAGGTGTACCAGCGTCCCTGGCCCACGGGGCCCCCAGCATTGGTCGCTCCATCTTGAGGCGAACCGAATAAATAGATTGACACGCTCTTCAAAATCGTGGCGCTCGATTTCGGACACTCGTCAGAGGGTGTGGCCAGATTTCGGACACCCCTGCGTATGGGTCAAACAGTCCATGCCAGCATTGAAGTAGCGCTGACCGCACAGGCACCGAAAACACAAGCCGTCGGTTCATGTCTGACGAGCCCTGTGGGCCAGGAACTCGTCTGGCACCACCCAGCAGGCGGAGGAGCCGAGTGCGGCGACGGCGCGGCGTCCGCGCCAGCCGCGGCTCCGCGGCAGGAGGCGTCGGCGCTGGCGGCCGCTGCTGCCGCCGTCGGGGGGAGGGATCTGGGGACGTCCACTCTCGGAGAGGCCCTGCGGCCTGTTCCGCCGACCCCGAAGGGGGGCCAGGAGGCCCCGGAAGGCCGCGAGGGAGTTGACGCGCGCACGAAGGCAGGCTGACGACTGCCCCAGGTCGGCTGAGAGAGCGCCTCGAGATGGGAGCAGAGACAGAACACCGTGCCACCTCTAGCGAAGGCGCCTGCTGAGAACCACCGCCGTCCCCTGCCTCTTAAAAACGCCTATGTGGCCAAACTCTGGGCCGAAGTCTGACCCAGCTATTGGGCTACGTGTTCCCCCAGTCGTTGTGGAACCACCGTGTGGGACCATTTGAGAGAGGAAGAGAAAGGATGATGAGATGGAGGAGGAGGAGGAGGAGGAGGAGGAGGAGGAGGAGGAGGAGGAGGAGGAACAGGAGGCCTCTTGAGGCCGTCTTGTGGCTTGCTGGGGGCTTCCTGGGAGCCGCTTGGGGGTCTCATAGGGGGCCTCCTGGGGGCCTCTTGGATGCTTGTTGGGGTCTCTTGGAGGCCTCATGGGGCCTCTTGGGGGCTTCTTGGGGGCCCCATGGGCCTCTAAGGGACCCTGTGGCCTTCTGAGGCCGTTTTGGGGGCCTCTCTAGGCAATCATAGGACACTCTTTAGACGCTTTAGGGGCGTCTTGAAGGTCTGTGGGGCCATCTTGGAGCCGTCTTGGGGGCCTCTTGGACCGTTTTGGGTCCTCTTGGATAGGTTTGCGGGCCTCTTAGGGGCCGTCTTGGTGCGATCTTGGCCGCCTATGGGGCCGTCTTGGAGGGTCGTAGGCCCAAAACGGCGAGAATGCTAAAACCATTCGCAAAACATAAGGGCATATCATTGGATGATCAAAGATTTTGGTATCCTCGAGATTCTCTTGGAGCTCTCTTGGGGCGTCTTGGAGACCTCCTGGGCCGTCTGGAGGGCATATTGGGCCATCTTGGGGCCATCGTGGCCGTCTTGAAGGCGTCTCGGATGCCACCTTGGCCGTGTCGGAGGCGAGTTGGGCAACCAGAGATCTCTCGCCCGGGGCCCCCTGGGTGGCGGGCGGGCTGGGCCGGATGCCAGTGGGAACCCTCCGAGAAGGATTGTACACGCCAGGCACGGCAGGCACCCCCTGATAAATCGACAGGGGGCGGCGTATCGAAGGCGCCTGCGGCGAATCGGCGCCGCCCCCTGCAGTGTGGAAGTGCCCATGCGGCCACACGTGGGGCCGAAGTCTGGCCAAGCTGGTGGACTACGTGTTCCCCCAGCAGTTGTGTGGAACCCCTCCGTGGAAACTTGGGGGAGGAAGAGAAAGGAGGAGCAGGCGGAGGAAGAGGAGGAGGAGGAGGAGGGAGAAAAAAAGGAGGAAGAGGAAGAAGAAGACGAAGAAGAGGAGGCATCTTGAGGCCCTCTTAGTGCCTCCTGGGGGCTTCCTGGGAGCCCCTTGGGGCCCTCTTCGGGCCTCCTGGGGGCCTCCTGGAGCCTCTTGGGGATCCCTGGGGCCTCTTGGGGCGCCTCCGGGGGCCTCGTGACCGTCGTGGGGCGAAGGGAGCCCGAACAAGCAATAACGCCTAACTCACAGAAAGTTTTTATTTTAAAAGAATGATCCCTCCTGGAGGTCCTTTTGGGCGTCTTCGGGAGTTCGTGTGCTGCCTGGAGCCATCTTGGCCGTCTTGGAGGCGTCTTGGGACCGTCTTGGAGGCCGTCCTGGCCGTCTTGAAGACCATCTTGGCCATCTGTAAGAAAAAATACGAATGTACACAACTTCATGGGTCCTTCTTGCCGGCCGGCTGGCTGGGTTGATGCCCCACTGGAAACGTTGAAACTAAGTTTCAAACCAAAACCAACTTGGAATTCAGCATGCCGTGCACCCCTGTGGCAGGCAACATGGGCGGCGTATCGAAGACGCCCACGGCGAATCACCGCCGGCCCCTGCCTTGTGGAAGCGCCAATGCGGTCAAACGTTGGGCCGAAGTCTGGCCAAGCTATTAGCCGTTCTGGAACCCTTTGGGGGAGCATTGGGGAGAGGACGGGAAACGAGGAGGAGGAGGAGGAGGAGGAGGAAGAAGAGGAGGCCTCTTCAGGCCCTCGATGAATCGACAGGGGCCTGCCAAGCTATCGGACCATGTGTTTCCCGAATCGGTTTGGAAAGCCTTCGGGGAACACGTGGGCATCTTGAAGGTCATCTTGGCGCCGTCTGGAGGCCATTCTGACCCTTTCGGGCCTTCTTGGAGGACGTCTTGGAGGGCTCTTGGGCCGTCTTGGAGGCTATCTTGAGCGTCTTGGAGACCTCTTGGGCCGTCTTGGGGGCCTCTTGGGGCCGTGTCTTGGGCCTCTTGGGCGATCTTTGTGGGCACTTGGGCCGTCTCGGGCCGTCGCAAGGCAGAAAACATGCAAATGCCACAATCCTTCAAAAACCCATGGGAAATCAATGTTTTTGGCCTTTTCGGGCCTTCCTGGAGGCCATCTTGGAGGCCTCTTGGGCCGTCTTGGGCCATCTTAGGGCCATGTTCGGCCGTCTTGGTGGGCTCCTGGTCCGTCTGACGCCGTCGGAAGCCGTTTGGGGGGCCTCTATGGGCCGACTTGGGGCCCTCTTGGAATGCTCCAGGGCCGTCTTGGAGGCCATCTTGGGCGTCTTCAAGGCCTCCTGTGCCGTCTTGGGGGCCTCTTGGTGCTGTCTTGGGCCGTTCTGGGGCCATCTTGGAGGCGTCTGGGGCGATCTTTCGGCGATCTTTGGGGGCTCTTGGGCCGTCTCGGGCCGTCGGAAGGTCGAAAAGAAGCAAATGCAAAAATCCGTCAAATACCTCAGGACAATCCATATTTTTGGCCTCTTCTGGCCTTCCTGGGGGCCTTCTGTGGGCCGTCTTGGGCCAGCTTTGAGCCAACTTCGGCCATCTTGGTGGGTTCCTGGCACGTCTGACGCCGTCGGGAGCCGTCTTGGGGGCCTTTCTGGGCCGACTTGGGGCCCTCTTGGGGCGCTTCGGGGCCGTCTTGGAGGCCATCTTGGGCGTCTTGGAGGCCATCTTGGGCGTGTTGGAGGCCTCTTGGGCCGTTTTGGGGCCGTCTTGGAGGCCACTTGGGCCGTCATGGGGCCCTCTTGGGGGCCTCTTGGGCGATCTTGGGGGCCTCTTGGGCCGTCTAGAGCCGTCGGAATGCCGAGAAGAAGCAAATCCCCAAATCCTTCAAAAACATAAGACAAATCAACGATTTTGGCCTCTTCGGGCCCTCCTGGAGGACCTCTTGGAGGCCTCTTGGGCCGTCTTGGAGGCCTCTGGGGGGTCTCTTGGGCCGTCTTGGGCCGTCTTAGACTCTCTTGGGCCGTCTTGGATGCCGTCTTGGACCATCTGGGGCGGACTTGGAGGCCATCTTGGACCATCTTGGAGGCCATCTTGGGCCAACGTGGCCATCTTGGAGGCCATCTTGAGCCGTCTTGGAGGATTTGTTGTGGACGTTGGGGTCCTGGAAGAGCCTCCCGGGACCCCGGCGGGACGGGCCGAAGCGCCAGGGGGAGTTCTTTTGGAAAAAGAACCAAAACCAAAACCGAAAGGATCCAGCATGTCAGGCACCCCTGCGATGAATCGACAGGGGGCGGCGGATCGAGTGGCTTTCGGCCCATGCCGCCACCGTGCTTGGGTGGTGGACCAGAGGCCTCTTGAATGTAGAAGGGTCTCTTGGGGTGCCTGCCGGAGCCGTATCGGAGGACTCTTGGAGGCCTCTTGGGGATCTCTTGGAGCCTCCTGGGGGCCTTCGGGCGGACAATGTGATGACCTAGGGTCGGTTTTCGGAAGATTGTGAGAGATTTGAACATTCATTTTGGGAACCCTGAATTTAATTCCCTGCAGTCGATCATGGCGCGTTTTATGGTGCAATTCTCAAGGCTGTAGGTGTAGTATTTCGATCAAAACACTAGGAGGAAAGGACGTCGCACACAACCTGAAAAATACATTTTGCGAGTGTTCAAGTTGACATTCGAAAACGCTCTCTCGTCGTTATCTGGGCGCTGATTTGCGTGTTGAGAGCTCTACGAGCACCTCTTGGTGTCTCTCGGAGGCCTCTTCGGGCCTGCTGGCGGTCTCGGGGTCATCTTTGGATTGTGGGCTCGCGGTTTGTTATTTCTGTTGTTGCTGCGCGAGCGCATGCTTCCGTTGTTTCTGCAGATCGTTGCTTCTTCCTTGGAATTCGATTGGGTCATTATCTTGGGGGCATCTTGCAGAGTTGTTGGACAATCTCGGGCAAGCTTGGGGCATTCCAGGGCCATGCCGCGGCTATAGTTGTGTCATCGTGGGGCCATCTTCGGGCCTCACTGGGCTGGGCCGTCTTCTGGGGGTTATCTTGGCGCCACGTGGGGGCATATTGAGGCCTCTCGGCAGTATTGAGACAATCGTGCTGGTGATGTTAAGCGTTCCTGGGGCATTTGACACAGCTTGGAGTCTTCGGGAAGTACCTTCGAGACACCTTCGATCGTCGATTCTGAGACACAGACAGGCGATCTGATGAAACATTGTCAAGGCTTGCTGGATGTACCATTCAGGGGGGTCCCAGACGACAAGAGGTAACATTGTCTGGGTTGGCGAATGCCACATTACAGGCCCTTAGGTTTGCATATACCTATAGGCACGGAGCGTGCATGATATCAAATACGTGCACTCATGCTTCCTGGCAAGGAATCCTCAGCTCCGCAGCCCGTTGGATTGCGGGGGGGGGGGGGGGGCGAATTACGACGCACACACAGGTCCACCCATGTCATGTATCCAGTTGTTTGTCCCGTTTGCATTCGGCAGTTCCATGTGCATCGACAAAGGCGTATGTATGTTCGTACGCGTTCCAAAACATCTCAATCAGCGCACGTCACTGGATTGTCCAGATGTGGTACATCACGTGTGGATCCGTCGTCGCACATATTTGAGACTGTGATATGAAAATCCGTTCCTGAGGCATGTCGAACTCGTGCGCATGATGCGTGAAATCTGACACTTGGCTGCACAAACGAAGCTACAGGGAATTCAATCCATCATCTTCGTCGAGCATCACCTATCGTTTGGATGTTGTTTGCCGTTGTTAGCGCAAGCAGCTGGAACAAGCTTCTCATCCCAGTACACTGGGGCATCCGTAGCTACTTCGGCTAATATCTCTTGCCTGATGCTTTGACGATTCACACGGAGCGTCGGCCAAGGCAGGGCACTGGAACGCTACTTTGGGCATGGCGGGCATCCCCCTTGGACAGGTGGCGTCGCCTCCGCCAACGGTGCTGGACCTGCAGGGGGGCCACGCTCCTCGGACTTTGGTACAGGTGCCTGTCACGACCCCGCAGGTGCCTGTCACGACCCCGCAAGTGCCTGTCACGGCATTGCCGGTGCATGTCACGACCCCGCCCGACAGGTTCGCGCAGCCGCCGCGCCTGGGGGGCTTCCCTGGTGGTGGCGTGCATGTCACGACCCCGCCCGAAGGGTTCGCGCAGCCGTTGCGCCTGGGGGGCTTCCCTGGTGGTGGCGCTGGCCCGACGGACGGGAGTCACCAGCAGGCGCTGCTTCCGCAGGGGCGGCTGCAGCAGCAGCAGCAGCGGCAGCAGCAGCAGCCCGGGAAGCCCGTGGCGGCGCAGATAGCCGAGCAGGCCATCATGGATCCCGCGACCCGAGAGGCTGTGCGGCAGCAGGCCGTCCAATTGGGCGGCCATGCGCTGGCTGCGGGGAAGTACTACGGCCACCAGGGCCTCATGGTGTTCCAGAGCTACATCCAGCAGGGGCCCAGGGGCATTTCCATTCTCTGCTTCGTGGGGGGTGCTGCGACCAGCGTGGTTGGCCTCATGAACGTCTGCAATCTCTTTGGCAGCCTCGTGGACCCTTTCCACTACATTCTCTCAGCGTACATGTTCATTTTCGGGATTGTCACTGCGGTAATCGAGGCTGACCCTGACAGTATAGGCACGCTCGTCCCGCCGATCGACAGCTTGGCAGGGCCCGTCACACAAGCCCAGGCTTGGCTGCACGATCAATGTAAGCTTCTCACGCAGCTAAGGGGCCGCGGCTTCTTTTACATGTACCAAGGAACATTGATGGTGACTCAGTGCGTCTTGTGTTTGATATCGCACTGGCTTCGTCCCCTGCCGTGGCCCAGGGAATGTGGATTTGGGAAATTGCTGAAGCTTCGTGTGTCCGCATTGGCCCATCCAGAAACGATCCCCCAGGCGAAGTACCGTGAGAATGGAAGTAGAAGATTGATCCGTGAATTGTTGACTCTTCGCGTGTCCCCACCAGCCCATGCAGAAACAATGCCCAGGGGAGTTGAGGGGATCAGGGAAGCGGGGGAGCATGCAGAAGAACAAATGGCGGGGGGAAGCCGTCATATACACCTTAGGCGATGCTTAAGAAAACTTAAGTTTTCGGCCAGAGTCTCGATTATTCTTAACGTTTCAATGTAAATCTTGAGATTTTGATAGAAGTTCTGGGTTTTCATTCAAGTTCTGAGACTATGAATTTCTTAACCCATGATTTCTTAAGCATTTCGCAGGGTGTACCCCAAGAGAAGGCGGATGGAGGTGGAATCGTCGTCGTTGGAGGAGGAGGAGGAGGAGGAGGAGGAGGAGGAGGAGGAGGAGGGGGAGGAAGAGGAGGAGGAGGAGGACGAGGATGAGGACAATGAGGAGAAGATGATGATGAGGAGGAGGAGATGGAGTAGGGAGGGGACGAGGGCGACGAGAAGGAGGAGAAGGAGGAGAGAGAGAGGAGAAGGAGCAGGAGGAGGAGGAAGAGGAGGGCGAGGAGGAACAAGGAGGAGGAGGAGGAGGAGGAGGAGCTGGAGAACGAGGAGGAGGAGGAGGCGGGGGAGGGTGGTGGTGGTGGTGGTGGTGGTGGGCACAGTCTTGAACGCAGCTGCGTATGCCGAGGGTCAGACCGCGACGCACCCCCGCGTCGTGGTCTGGAGGGAGGGAGGAAGGAGGAGGGAGGAGAAGGAGGAGGAGGATGAATAGGTGGATGAGGATGAGGAGGAGAAGGAGGAGGAAAGGGGCGAGCAGAAGAGCCAGAAGCCTCTTTGATGCGATGCCTCTCGGAGTCTCTTCGGATGTCTCTTGGAAGCTTGTTGGAGGCCTCTTGGGGCGCCCGGGGGGCCTCTTGGCGGGCCCAGGGGCGCCTCTGAGCGTCTTGGGTGCCTCTGGGATCCCCTGGAGGCATCTTCAGGATCTCTTGGGAGCCTCTTGGAGTCGTCTTGGGCGCCTCTTGGGGCCGCCTGGGCGCCTCTTGGGGCCCTCTTGTGGCGCTCTTGGGAGCCCTGGGGCGCTCTTGGGGCCATCTTGGAGGAGATCGATCACAGAAGGGGGGGTCCTTAATTCGGGTCCCCCCTCGGGAGCCCCAAACATCGTCTCTTGGACCCTTCTTGGGGCGCTCTTGGGGCGCTCTTAGGCGCTCTTGGGGCCACCTTAGGGCTCTATTGGGCCTCGGTTAGGGCTCTCAGGGGCCATCATGGAGCCATCTTGAGGCCTCGGAAGGCTATTGGACGCGAACGGGCGAGAAGGCAAACCACCTTGATTTCCCTTAGGTGTTGGAAGGGTGTTGGCCCCTTCGGGGCCTCCTTGGGGAACGCTTTGGCCACTTGGACTAGTCTTGGGGCGGCCTTGGGGCATCGTGGAGCATCTTGGAAGCCATCTTGAGGCATCTTGGGCTATCTTAAACCATCTTGAAGGTCATCTTGGGCTCTCTGAGGCCCTCCTGGAGGCGTCTTAGGCGAAACCGTTCATTTTGACACCTCGTGACGGCCTCCGTCCAGGTCCAGGGGGATGAGGTATACGGGAGGGGTCAAGGCACCCCCTAGATAGCAAGCCGTCTAGCTCAGTCCCACCCGCCCTCCCAAGACATAAGTAACACCCGAGCCTGAGCATGTTCAGCGGTCGTCTTTGGACGGGCAGCTACTGGGAATCAAAACCGACCCCATGTGCGCGAAGCTGGGGCGAGGTGCGCCACGCGTGCCAGGCACGCCTGGTGCGCCAGATGCGCCACGTGCTCCGTGTGCGCCAGGTGTGCCGCACACTCCAGCCGCGCCAGATGCGCAACATCCGGGGCACGTGCAGAGTGTGTCAGGTGCGCCTGCGCACGTGGCAGCACACATCGGGAAAC